TACAAGATTCTCAAACACTTGTCAAGAACCACTAATCTAGTCCTGCCCTTTGTCTTGCAGACCAGGAAACAGTTCTGGAAGATAAGTGACCTGCCTGAGTCCACAAAGCTGGAAAACAACGGACCTGGGGTCTTACTCCAGACCTTTTCTTTCCAAGCCCCTCACTCTCTTCTCCCCACTCTGCTGACTACATGGTGGAAAGAAGACAGAAGGGGATGCGAACACTCGAGGTTAAAGTCATCAAAGGATCACGTTCCCCCATTTTGGCCCCAAGTGGGATAGATTGGTAGCATGGAGGGTTGGGACCATGGTGCCTCAACAAAGGCCCCAGCCCTCACCTGCACTGCCAGCCCAAGCCCTGTCGCCTGTGCAGTCCTGTCTCCAAGCAGACTTACAGTCAGATGCACGGTGGTGGCGGAGTGGGGCTCTTAGGAGGACTTGCCCACCTGCACCTGAGCACCTGATCACCTGAGCAGGCACGCAGTTCCAGGCTTCCCTGACCGCACTCCAGTTTCCCCTGATTCATTTCCTCAGGCCATTCTGGATCATGGCCTTGCCCCTGTTAGTATGCGCAGGGCACACTTCCTCTTGAGCTCTCCTCCCAGGCCGATTTCAGTCACTAAACACAGCTGGCCTCAATTTCTTTTATGTTTTGGGCCAGTTCCCTCAGTCTCTGGCCTTTGCCTGAGCCTCTGGATTCACCAGCCTCGCTTACCTTCCTCTTCTAAACTAGCCACTTCCCACCTTGGCCTTTTTCCTATTTTCCACACTCTCTATCCTACCTTGGTGACAGGGCCCCTCCAGTCGTGGCCCCAGCTGACCACCCTCTCCTCCCCCCACCCCACATCCAGCTGCTGGGGCAACCTGCTCTTCAAGGACGAAAAGTATTTGATGTCCTCCTTCGGCAAGGTAACCGTGCTTGAAAGTTAGTCTAATGCCGGTTCTGTGCCTTTACGTGGGGAGCCTGTATCTGGTTGGGTGGATACCTGCTCACCTCTGTGCCCTGATCTGTAGGTTCTGACTCTCCTAGTCATTCCAGGTTCTCTCAACCTTGTTTCCCCTCTCTGCTTGCCGACACCCTTCTCTCATTTTTTCCCTTTCCTGCCTTCTTTTCTCTATCCCTCCCTCCCTTCCTCACCACCCCCTCCCCACTTTTAACCCTTGCCCCATGCTCTAGGCCTTCCTTGGCCCTTCCTGGCATTGCTCTGCCTGACAGCAATACCCAGGAATTAAAATAATGAAAAAAAGCACCTGAGCTCTTTGTGTTGACTGATGCCACCTTTGTGGTGGTGCAGATTTGTTTTGGAGTCTGGACAGTAGGATCTGCTCTGCAGTTTGCTGCAGGCCGAGGAAAGAAGGCTGCTCTGTAATTTTCCCAGCAGCCTCGTCCAATCTGTGGGTGACGGCTCAGACACGTTGTCTCTAACAGACAAGGAAACGAGCTCAGAGCTCAGGAGACTTGTCCCAGTCACAAATTAAATCAGTGCAGAAAGAGAAACAGAGAGCCCTCGGAGTGGAAGCTGTCCAGACAGCTGTACAGCAGGATCGTATCCTGCTGTCTTTCAAAGCCTCGGCCAGTGCAGTTGCACCACAGGCACTTGGCAGCTACTGGACAGCTGTGTTAGGCTTTCTTGTTGACTCTTTACCCTGTGAAGGAGTTGTACAGTGAATTCCTTGTTGAGGATTAATTATTTTCTCCATTGCCTATGACTGAGGCTGTGTCTCACGTCCTGCCCCTGGTTTCGCTTGTCCCAAGGATTTCATTTGAAGGGCGGGACATTCCCCCCTCAACCCCCCCACCCCAGCCAGAGCCTGCAGTCAGGACCAATGACAGCGCAGTACCTCATCCACCCGGTGACTAAGAACTCGCAGTACTTAAGAGGTGGCAGGAATGGGCTGAGAATAGCTTTTGCTTTCTCTGCAGTCACTCTCATCTGATTTGGGGCATCACTGAGCTGAAGACAGTGAGAAACCTGCTACTACTATGTGCTACGGCAAATGTGCACGATGCATTGGGCAGTCTCTGGTAGTGCTCGCGGTCCTCTGCATTGTAGCTAATATTCTGCTTTACTTTCCCGATGGGGAAACAAAGTACAGCTCTGAAAACCATCTCAGCCGCTTCGTGTGGTTCTTTTCTGGTATCGTAGGTGGGGGCTTGCTGGTAAGTCATTCAGAATTATTACAATCTTTCAAAACTCCTCTCTGAGCTAGATGTTTTCATTATGTATTTTCAAGGAACATTTTCTGTAATGCATATTTCCAAATGCAGTGATTTTGTTGTTATCGTTCATTCTTTTGAAAGCAGATTATACAAAACTGAGAGAGGTATAGTGCATTAATTTTATTAGATGTTTTACAGAATCCTCTTTCAATTACCTTTTTGCTAAGCTCTCTTACTTTACAGCTAGGAAACAGATATTAGCTTTTAAATCAGATTTGAGAGACTATAGAGTTTCTGGTACTGGAGCGAGTAGTCATTTAACATTTGCTCTGGGGGGCTGAGGGGGTTGGCTCGTTCTCTGTCTAAATCCACGGTTTTGAATCCAAATTTTCTGCTTATTCTCAGACAGCTGAGACAGGGGAAAATAATGAATTATGAGTGCATTGCTACTTAGAAAGAACTATAAACTTTCTCCTTTATGTAATGCTGTGGTGTCGTGTCTAGGAAAAATCTTATAGTTAGTGGCAGATCAGTGTCTGAAGCTAGTAGTGGAATGTGTTGTTTTTTCCAAGGTTCGTTTTTAATTGAAATAAGAGGAATTTCCTGCCAACCTGGGAGCTGAAAGTATTAGCTTCAACCATGGCATGGAAAGAATGTGGACAAACTTGAGTTTGCTGTTTTAAAATGCTGGGATTAAGAATTTTTAAAGAGAAATTTTATGGAATTGTTAATACCATACAGTGTATTTTTTCTTAGTCAAGTAAAAAGATATTAAAAGATTTAAACCTAATACACTAATTATGTCATGGCAAATCTGCTTTGAATTTAAGCATTACTATTATGTTAACATAATAATTTGTCCTTAGCATAGCATCGCACTTGTTTAAGTTTCTTTTCATCTCAAACTTAAAGTATTTCATATCTTATTTAAGGAGTTTCATTGTTAAGCTAAAATTATGCAGTTTTATCTTGAAAGAAGCAGTTCACATTTACCATACATAGTTTTCATCTCTCCCATTTACAAAAAAGTTATAGTTATCCTATTAAAGACTTATGGGTCTCTTCTATGTTTTACAAATGTGAAAAAAAATCAGATTTAAAGACAGGGTTTAATAGTTCCAAAACAGAGTTTTCATCTGGGACTGTGTCATGAACTCTCATGGAATAAACACGTTAACCGGTTATTATTGTACCCCTCCCACACTACACCCTCACCAGAAGGAATTCTTTGACACATTAAATGAAAACAAGCAGATGTTATATTTAGAATTTTTTTTCTCCTCAGAGTTTTACAGTCTTTGAGATACTTGGTTACTCTAGATAAAGCCAGTCAACATCATCAGAAACAGATATATTTTACCAGAAGATGCTTAACCTGACCCACATGAACCTGGGGAATGACAATGACTTTAATTTGCTTGTTCCCTAACCAGATGTTCCTGCCAGCATTTGTCTTCATTGGGCTGGAACAGGATGACTGCTGTGGCTGCTGCGGCCACAAAAACTGCGGCGAGAGTTGCGCGGTAGGTCCTCTCACTGTGGTGGTGACAATGACTCCTAAGATGTAGCTGTGGTGCTCTTGGATCACTTCTGGTGTCTCTCCTTTCCCTAGATGCTTTCTTCTGTACTGGCCGCTCTCATCGGAATTGCAGGATCTGGCTACTGCGTCATTGTGGCAGCCCTGGGCTTAGCAGAAGGACCATTGTGTCTTGATTCCCTTGGCCAGTGGAACTACACCTTTGCCAGCACCGAAGGACAGTATGTAATTGTTCCCTACCTGGCCACACATTCTTATCCACATGTGTGCAGTAGCAACCCTATCAAACTCAACAGGCTTCCATCACCCACCGCTCATCCCGTGTTTGTTCCCACTTGCTCAGCCATAGTTTAGGCAGTAGCTGTCCAAGGATGGACAGCCAGTCCCTGACATGGGCAAGTTCTCAGTGCTTTTTAGTAGAGTCACTGATTCCTCATAATAACCCTCGGAAGTGACTTCCACTATTACTCTCCTACTTTACAGATGAGGAAACAGAGGCACAGAGAGATGAAGTCATTTATCCAAGGTCACGTTGCTAGGAAGTGGCAGTGAGGATTAAAATGCAGGCAGTCTGGCTGTGGAGTTTGTGTTCATATAGTGTATGTGTTATACCAGAACAATTGGCTAATTAAATGTAATACATCTTACTATTTTATAAGAAAGTATTATAGAACCCTTATATAAAAAGAGTGGTAACTATATGAATTTAACCAAAGCCCAGGGCAAAGCCTACCCCTACCCCCATACACACACACACGTATAACATAAAAACTATGTACAATGCACCCTTTATTTAAAGCTATCAGGTGATGTAAGAAAGGTCTTATTCACGACTTTAACATCAAGATAGTTTAAGAGGTTCCACTGCTTTATTTTGATACTTATTTCTTATCAGTTATTGAGAAAAGAACAGAAACATGAAAGCTGATGGAAACTGATATATGTGCTGATGAATGAATGACATGCTTCTTTGAGCAAGATACGATTCTGACTGTACCTTTTCCTTATTCAGCTCTTTAAAGTTGAATTTTGAAAGGTTAAGTTTTGAGATTAATGAGTGAAAATAATACTAATAATGAATTTGAATTGCCCTTATATTATCAACGTGTTTGTCTCCTATGAATTATAAAGCATATAGGAATTATATAGGTATTATATATAATTGGGGGGTGTGTTATATACACACACAGACACGAGAAGTCTTCAAAAAGTTCATGGAAAGATTTTATCTTTTATTTCTATTTTTCCACGAACTTTTTGAAGTAACCACATATTATGTGGCATACTTATGAGATCATGAATTTGGGATTAGGTAGACCTGGTTTTAATCCCAGCTCTGCACTTACTCTCTGAGTTCAGGAAAAAGTGAACAGACCTCTGCATCTCAGTGGGTCTATCTGTAAAATGAAACCAATGACAGAGGTCATGCCGATTAATGGGATAACACATGTAAAATGCTCTGACACATTGTGAGTGCTGCCACTGTTAGCCGTGCATATTGCCCACTAGTTTACAACCAGCACAACCCAGTGATAGCCTCTGAAGGAAAACTGTCACAGCAGTTTGAAATTTTGGTGTTCAAAATTGCTCAATCATGATTCATCTTTTTTCAAAACGTTCAGAAAGTAGTTATTCATGTATGCACAAGCATACAAAGGTATTACATCAACCTACCTCTAAAAAAGGTAATGATTTATGCAGCTGGAATGCAGGAAGATGTGGGAATATCACTAAATGTTTTTTATTGCTGTTTGTACATCCATCCCAGGGCTTTCAATATGGGTACTAACTGTCACAAGCCACTGGTTCATTGCCCAATGGCCAATGGGCATTGTTTACATTGTGACCTGAAAATACAGATCTTTGTTCCACCAATGGGTAGGAAGACAAGACCAGAGGATGGGATTTTTCTTTACTTTTTTTAAGTCAACAAATTGAACCTCTGATTGGCTCAATGAACCATTTAAAAGTTAAGTCTCTAATTCCAAGCCCCTTTGTTCTGCTGTGGCAGAAAGAAGTGATAAGGAAAGAATTATACCAGACCTCTTTGTGGAACTAAGCCAGACCTTGATTTTCCCACATGATTGGATCCTATCTCATTAAGAATCTAAATACACTATAATGTAGCAAAGGCTGCAATTCTAAGAGAGTAATCAGAGGTAGAATTTTTCAGATTGAAAGAATATCCAGGTGTTTAGAAAATCTCATAAGTCATATACACATATAGTCAGACATTCCCTTAGCACGGTTTGCTGACATTTAACAAAGGAACTTCAGGTTGTTATTTATCTTTCAACTACTTTTAAAACGTGTTGAGTACCTACTCTGTGCCAGATACTGTTCTACCTTCATGAAGCTCAGCCTTGTTGAATAGATACATAAGCAGTCATTCTCCCTGGACTATGGTAGGTGCCCTTACTCTGTGGCCTTTCACACTGTGTTTACCTGATCCGCATACCTGTTGCATTGAAGTTGCCTGTTACTTGTGTCTTCCCTTAGATGCTGTGCTCTTCTAGGACACAGCCTATGACCTGTTCACCATTATATCCCCAGCTCTGGCTCAATGTTGAATTCACACTGAGTGCTCAGTGATCCTGTTGAATGAGTGAATGCAATATGCTACATGCAATTATAGAAGCATGGCACAGCATCAAGAAAGTAAAGAGGCAGCAACAAATTAATTTAATTCCTGTGCTTCATGTTGCAAATTATTCTTTAAAAGCAAAAAAATAATAATTTCATTCTAAAGGTCTCACCTTAAAAAACTCTAGAATATTAAATCTTCAAACTTGTCAGAATTTGGATAATTTTCAAAAAGAGCAAATTAAGTTTTAATGAAGTGATATAAATTAATATTTTAAAGTTCTAAGAAAACTCATGTAAGGAGATTATATTTTCTAAATATTTACTCAATATTGGTTACAAAGTCCTTTCACACAGATAACAATTAAGCAACAATAAAATTGGGAAATAAAGTAAAAAATCACCTATAATTCCACTATCTTAAAACATGAATTGTTTTATCTGTTCTTAGTTCACATCTATTTACATTCATGAATTTTACTTAGCTTTAAATGTAGCATGAATATAGTTTTGCATTTTTATTTTTGTTTACAAGAATTCATATGTCTTTTAGAGACTATAAACCTTATAAGGTGAGGATTTCTAACCACAGAATCCTAGATTAGGAATCAAAAGTTATAATTTCGTTTTATGTTTATCATTACAACAAGATCTGGGCTAAAAGTAATTCATTTTATGGAATGACTTGTATTGGAAGAATCTGATATAGGATATTAAATTTATTCATTTCTTTTTTTCTGAATGAAAAATCAGCACACAAAAAAAGTAGCTTCTGGGAAATCCCATTATGTCTGGTCATGTATGAGAAGTATCTCTTCTTATCCACAGGTACCTTCTGAATACCTCCACATGGTCCCAGTGCATTGAACCCAAACACGTCGTGGAATGGAATGTAACTCTGTTTTCTATCCTCTTGGCTCTTGGCGGAATTGAATTTATCTTGTGTCTCATTCAAGTAATAAATGGAATGCTTGGAGGTATATGTGGCTTTTGCGGCTTTCGCAAACAGGTAAGAACATGTGTGAAAATGTGGTAGTCTGGCCCTGCTGTATTCAGTTACCACAATGCACCATTATTCATTGCAGAGAAAAAGACAAAACCAAACACGCTCAATCTACCAGCATTTACTCTGACATCATCCTTGTGGCAACACATCTATAGTATTCAGTTTTGCTCTCAGTAATAAGCTTCCTTGAGTCTCACAGTCTCTGGGTTATTTTGGTTCTTTGTAGTTGGCTCTACATGCGTGGGAACAGGCTGCCCATAGACATGGTGCCCGCTTCTGGATCGAATCCACTGCCCCTTTCACAACTCCTGCGCTGGCTGCAGACACACAAAAGGGATGCCCCCAACAAGTATACACAAATAACAGCCAACGTTTCATGGCATCAGGCACTGTGATAAACCCATTTTTCAAATGAAATTATGACTCTGAGATTAAGCATAGATAAAGATCACTAAGCCTGGAAGTAACAGGCTTGAACCCCTGGATCACTTTATGCCAGAGCTCTTGCTCTTTACCTGTATGCTACACTTGCTGTTCTGTTGGATTTTCTACAATTCCTTCCTTATAAGGAGTCCCCAAAATGCCTAAGCAGATAAGCATGGAGAATCACTAGCAGCCTTTGAATAGCAGCACATGAAAAGCCTTTCACTGTGAAAGAAAACCAGGAAGCACTTGTTTCCTGGGGATATGATTTAGGAGAGAAATATGCATTTGTTTGTAGGGGGGAATGTTCTTGTTTCTATATCCTTCTAAAAGATATATATTATTGAATTGATGGAAGCCCAGCTTTGGTCCAACTTGGCAGGGGGAGGTTATTTATGTCTCATTCTATAAAATGGGATAAGGAGAACAGAACTTATTTAATTTATATCTTCCAAGCCATTTACTCCTCTGTTTCCAAGTCTGTTAACTTTCTTTTAAAATAAGACAAAAACATAAGGGAAACTAAAAGTTCCTTGCTACCATGAAAAAATTTGCTGTAAGTAAATGAAAATTTTCTATAATTTTTGAGAGGAAGTTAAAATAAAAGTCTATTTTTCTTATCGGAAAAGTGCAGCAAGATTAATAATTTCTTTGGAATCCTGCCAAATTTTCAAGAAAACAACAGTGTAGGAACCTTTCAATATGGAGTTGTTTTCAGGCAATGTGGCTGGGGAGTGGCAGAGAAGAATCTTTTTGGGATTACTGTAACACAATCTATTTTTAGCTTGAATTTCATAAAAGGCAGAGTTTAAACTGAGTTCTCACTGGACTTCAGTGCTGGTGCATTTTGGGGACAGGCATAAAAAATCAATGGCCAAGATTGCGGAAGTGATTTGGCAGAGCGACACTGTCCTCTGGGTTGGGGGAGCAAATACACTGGGTTTGCCATCTGAGTCACTGTGGCTTCTGCTCAGACCCTGCAGGGAAGATCTGTTACTTTTGTTTACAAAACAAAGACACTTTCACAAGGCAGAGCTTTTACTATAGAATAGTCTGGTTCATAACTCACTAGTGTTTAATTTGAAAGGTTACCCACATTGAGCCCAAACCAGTGTGAAACTCCCATCACATTATCTTTTAAATCCCAAAGATTAAAACCCCACACAAACACATTCAAAACCAACCCACTGCCGGTATCCTGCAGTTTCCATGGGCCCTTTCTGCAGCTTTGAGTCTGGGAGGACAATGGGTCTGGTTTGCTTAGGAAACATTTAATGAGCATTGTCTCAGCCCTAAGTGTGGCTGGCTGAAGCTCTGCTGAAGCTGAGATCAGTCTGCTTTATGTTTGTTTAAAACAGAAATTTAAAGGACTGAAATGTCATCATTGTTTGTTTATCCCAATTGTAACCTAATGTGTATTTCATTTTCTTTACAGCGATATGACTGCTAAAAGAACCACCCCAAGACAGAACCACAATTTTGCTCTATTTCATTGTAATTTATATATTTTACTTGTATTAATTTGTAAAACTTTGTACTAGTGTATCATACTCCGCATATTCTACTTTTATAAAGGTGTATAAAGACTGGCACCTTCACGTGATGTTAGAGTTTGAACTTAGCAAACAAACTTTTTTTTAAGGAATGAGCAAGCAAACCACACTCTGGAAGTAATTTACAGACTGGGTGACAGTCCTTAGCATATTGGAGATAAACCCTATAATGTTGTGATGAAAATCACATCCCAGTTACTATTGTATATATGTGTGTGTATTTTTTAAATGAAAGATGTCTAATTGCTTTTTTTTGAGACCAAGAAGGAGAAAATCCAACAACATGCAGAGCTGTGTTTTTTTCACTGTTTATATGGTGTTTCCCATTCATATGGCTACAAATCTCTAACAAGAGGCCTTTTGAAGTGCTTTGAGTTCTGTGAGAGACGAATACTTGCCCAGGATGGGAAGATTAATTGGGAATGCTCCAACCCAAATGAGTGAGCCAGAGCAGGCAGTGCTGCTAGATCCTAGACTTTTCTAACACGTGGACAAGCACTAAGGATCATGTGTTTAAAAAGAAAAAGGCTGGGAGAACTGGACAAGAAGATGGGAAACGGAATAAAGCAGTTGATCAGCATCACAGGAAAATGGGGAAGGGGAAGTGAGGGCAGGAGGGGACCATGAGGAAATAGCCCCAGAACTTGCTTGTTTATGACAAAATAAAATATTTACTACCATTTTGCTGTTGTTCAGTTTCATTGTCCTTACTTTAAAGTTCCTCTTTTTTCCTCCCTATTTTTTTTCCAGTCCGCAGGTGAAGTAGCCCCTGTTGCTAAGGGTTTTGTGTCTTCTGATTTATCTCACTTTCTCTCCCTCATCCCTCCTTCCTCTTCTCCCTCCTCTGCTATCTATAAATTGTCATTGCTGTGCTATCCCTTGGGGGCATCACCCTGGATAGGTGGCTTTGCTTTTCCGGGAACTTCAGGCATCAAACTCCTCGGGAGGGTAACAGTCGTTTTCTCTCTTACCGTGTAGAGCTAGGTTCTCTTTCTTTCTTTCTTTCTTTCTTTCTTTCTTTCTTTCTTTCTTTCTTTCTTTCTTTCTTTCTTTCTTTCTTTCTTTCTTTCTTTCTTTCTTTCT